CAATTCTGGGCGCCGCACTTCAAGAGGGATGCGGATATCCTGGAGAGGGTTCAGAGAAGGGCCACTCGTATGGTTAAGGGCTTGCAGGCCAAGCCCTACGAGGAGAGACTGGGGCACCTGGACCTTTCAGCCTCCGCAAGAGAAGGTTGAGAGGCGACCTTGTGGCTGGCTATAAGTTCATCACGGGGGCACAGAAGGGAATTGGTGAGGTTTTATTCACCAAGGCGCCCCCGGGGGTTACAAGAAATAATGGCCACAAGCTAGCAGAGAGCAGATTTAGACTGGACATTAGGAAGAACTTCTTCACAGTTCGAGTGGCCAAGGTCTGGAACGGGCTCCCAAGGGAGGTGGTGCTCTCCCCTACCCTGGGGGTCTTCAAGAGGAGGTTGGATATCCAACTAGCTGGGGTCATCTAGACCCAGCAATCTTTCCTGCCTATGCAGGGGGTCGGATTCGATGATCTATTGAGGTCCCTTCTGGCCCTAACATCTATGAGTCTATAAATCTATAATCAACAAAATATCTAAATTTGCATGCACAACCTAGAAGTATAGGCATTCAAATAACCATTTATATGTAGAAATATCCAATATCCAATACTAAAATCATAATAATATAAGAACACATTCCCCTTTCTTTGAAAGATTTAGTCCTTAGACATTTATTTCAAAGTATTAGAAAAATTGCAGATAATTTTACACACACACACTTTTGAACTATCACTGGAAGACAGAATCAGCATTTCCAGGATGACGTGATCAGGTCATTTGCAATACACACAGACCATCTATCAGTGCCCATTTATTTATAATTAGGACTTTGACCCTACACATAGCCCAGAAGACTATGGGCCTACCTTTTTGGCATGCCACAAGTTAGCCCCGTACCCTCCTGAAGTGCCATTCTGATCTCATTCCCCTGCCTGATCCTCTGCTCTACTTTCTGCTTCTTTCCCTGTGCTCCCTGCCTGATTTGCTCCTTCACTTTTTGCTTCCAACCGTATTTGCTGCTGTGATGCCTGTCCCCTCCCTGATCTGCTGCATACCATACACAGAGGCTGCCTGTGCCATTTGTAGCACCTGTGTGCAGGTGACCAACCATGGTCTAGAATCTATGAAAGGGAAACAATATTCTATAGTTAGTGGTGACTACTTCTCCAAAGTAAAGTACAGTATTTTTTCAGACAGGTAAAATGATTTTTAGTACATGCCATACCCTGTGTCCAGGAGGTCCCCAGTCTCCTTCAAGACCCTTTTGACCGACAGGACCTGCAACACCCTATAAGCATGAACATAAATTACAAACACAACCACCAAATAGAACAGATTTACAGAGAGAACATGTAGGTTGTACAACTGTTACAGTCTTATTCTCCTTTCATTTACTTTACAGGACAATTAGTTAAGTTGAATGAATCCTGATTTGCATAACCATTTCTAAAGGACAAAAGCATAGAAGGGCATCATGCCTCTCATTCTTTTAGGGGCTCAGTTGAATTTTAGCAAAGTTTACTTGGCACCTAACACAAAAAAATATTCAGAAACATAAACCCCGAAACGAAAATATGAATCCATTGTCTTCAATGCTACTAGCCTCTTTTATATCCAACTCATTTCTGTCCTTTTTTCTGTGTTAGAGGAAAGACAGTCTTGTGTTAAGATCTAAACTAGCAATGAGGACTTCAAGGTTTTATACATTTTGCATTTCCAGATACTGCATGCACTGTGTCACATTAGCTATTGTTGTACCAAAATTAAGCTTTTTACCCTTTCTGCAGAAGGGACAAAGAAGGGACCCTACACTCAGTAGAAATCCTGTCTGACCATGAAGAGGTATGGGCATGTTCCCAAGTGAACCCTAAGTCACTCCTTTTCAGAAGGTTTAGGAAAAGAGACCAGAAATGAGGATAAAGAAAGTGTGCGCGGCACCAGGGGTGGAGTAGGAGCAGGAGCTCAGTGAAGTTTCCTTGAATTGCTTACTGGCAATTCTTTTTCCTTCTTAGGAAAGGCAAAAAAAATGTTTTAGTGGGTTGGAAATGTGTGGTTTATACGAAAACATTGGAACAGATTTTTTCATACGAAAACACCAGAAATGGATTTTCAGAAACTTGCATCATTGGCTTCCATCCACCTTAATTAGGAGTTTAGTCAGTCCAAGGCTCGCTGTTTTTGAAAATTCCTTCCATTGTAGTTTAAAATAAATCAATATGATAAAGTTCAAGATGTTACAAGATGCTAACTTAAATAGATTTCCATCATTGGAGGGGGAAAGAATACTTACCAGTTTTCCTCTGTTTCCCTTTGGTCCAGTTTTCCCTGGAAGGCCAGGATTCCCAACTTCACCCTAATTCATTATGAAATAAAAATGTGAAAATGGCTATTATGCTGAAATGTGAATAACTCATGAAATACTCATTTTTATTTATGCATTAATTCAAGAAACCTGCCCACATGCAGGTACATATAAAGGACTTATACATAATAAAATTAGACTCTGATTCTTATTAAAAATGTGACAAAAATATCTTTTTTTTTTCTTTTAACCAAACACACATACACACATGACGGGGCTTTAGTCCTCAGGATTTTATTTCATGCCCTCTAAATTGAAATGGTGGATTCTTAATTGAAATGCCACCATGGAGGGAAGAAATTCAGTGCTTCAATGAGTTCCAATTAGGTTTATTTTTAATTAACTGAAACAAATACTTCATGTTTCCATTAATTTGAATAGCCACAAATGAGCCGTCATAAGACTGTTTTTCATCATTACTGTTAATTGTACTATTAAATATTTTGAATTATTTTGCTAAAATTGAATAGACCAAGCAAAACTAAAGAAAAAGTCATTATACAAGAAAAATTTCTCCAAGTGCAGTATGTCAAACATGCTTTCTAGGCCTGTGCAAGTCAGCAGCGATCCGATCCGGCTTCAGATCCGGCCGCTTTGGATGGCAGTGATCTGATCCAGAGCGCCGGACTGGGTTTCCGCCTTGATCCAGCCAAAGTGGCTCCAAAGCTTCGGAGCTGCCTCAGAGATCCGGCCATAGGGTATAATGGGGGAATCAATGAAATATCTATAACTTTGTTGTTTTCTGTCCGATTTAGATGAGACTTGCAGGGATGGTAGCCTCTGCTGAGAGCATGAAACCTGCTAAGTTTCAAGGAGATCAGTGCTGGGGTTTGGAGGGAACTGTACCCCAAATTCTTGAAAGCCAAACTCATGTCACAGCTGTGTGTTACACTACAGGGGGGTGTGAAAACTGCAGGGGTGGTGGCCCCTGGTGAGGCCACAAAGCCTGCCAAGTTCCAAGAATATCGGTGCAGGAGTTTGGGGGGGAACTGCACCTCAAGCTGCGGACAAGCAAAATTCGTGACATGGGTGGCACTGTGCGTGTTAAGGCACAGCAGGGTGACAGCTGCAGGGATGGTGGCCCCTGCTGTGGCCACAATGCTTGCCAGGTGTCAAGGAGATCAGTGTAGGGCGGGTTCTGGGGCCCTGCCAAGTTCCAAGAATATCGGTGCAGGAGTTTGGGGGGGAACTGCACCTCAAGCTGCGGACAAGCAAAATTCGTGACATGGGTGGCACTGTGCGTGTTAAGGCACAGCAGGGTGACAGCTGCAGGGATGGTGGCCCCTGCTGTGGCCACAATGCTTGCCAGGTGTCAAGGAGATCAGTGTAGGGCGGGTTCTGGGGCCCTGCTGCTGACAGACAAAACTTGTGCCATGGGTGTTTGTGGGACTGATTGTGTCCATCTTGGGGCAGTTGATTGTCTGTATTGATTCTTTCCTCTCCTTAGCCTGGTTTTGTAGGTGCTAACTGATGGCAATTAACTGGCTACATTAGCTAGCTACTGTGTATTGAGCTGGTCCCTGAGTGAATCATGATAGCCTGACGAAGGGTTTTTGAACCCGAAAGCTTGCTTAATAACTATTCTCCAACCATTTGGGTTGGTCTAATAAAAGATATCAAATTCACCCAAGGAACCTTGTCTGCTCATGATTGACTGGTAACACAGTAGCTTAGCAGCCAGGCTTGCAGTAGTGTCTCCCACACCCCAAGACAGACACAGTCAGTCCCACAAGCACCCATGGCACGAGTTTTACCTGTCAGCAGCTAGGGCTGCAGGGCCCCAGAACCCCCTAGCACCGATCTCCTCAACAGCTGGCAGGCATCGTGGCCGCAGCAGGGGCCACCATCCCTGCAGCTGTCACCCCACTGCGCCTTAACACACGCAGTGTCACCCATGGCATGAGTTTTGCTTGTCCACAGCTTATGGGGCAGTTCCCCCTAAACCCCTGCCCCGATCTTCTTGAAACTTGGCAGGCTTTGTGGCCCCACCAGGGGCCAATCCCCTCTGCAGTTTTGACCCCCCTGTGTTGTAACACATAGACATGACAGAAGTTTTGCTTTCAAGAATTTGGGGTGCAGTTCCCTCCAAACAACTGCACTGATCTTCTTGAAACTTGGCAGGCTTCATGCTCTCTGCAGAGTCTACCACTCCTGAAAATTTTATCTAAATTGGACAAAAAACAACAAAGTTATAGATATTTTATTCTATCCCATTATACCCTATGGCCGGATCTCCGAGGCGGCTCCGAAGCTGCTCCAAAGCTCTTCAGAAGCTCCAAACTGCTTCAGGAAGCCTGACAAGGCCAGCGCTTCAACCCGGACATGCTGCTTTGGAAGCACCTGAAGCTTCTCTGGATCTGAAGTCCTGTCTGAAGCCTCGCACAGCCCTAATGCTTTCTAAATTATGGGTCCCTGAACAAGACTAGCATTTTGACTCATCCAGTTAAATGATTTTGGATGGGAGAAGAGAAAAATATAACACTGTATGAGAAAAACTATGAAAAGAATATTTATGATATTTTATATTAAATGATTGCAAATCACAGTTTTTTTTGTTATTGATTCTGCTTTTTATGTATTTCCTTCTGAAATACAATATAAGCAGACAAGTCCAGTTCCAGAATCAGGTGCTGAACAGTAAGATAATGCCAAAGTCACGGTTACTTTTTTTATTCAATGATTTCTAAAATGCCCTTCACTCTAGAGCCCTGGTTTTAACAAATTAGGGCTAGATGAAATGTCTTGTGTAATATGGCCACAAAAGGCTGTAGTGGGGAGTAAAACCTCTTATGTTCCTCTTACAGGGGGAGAAGCAAAAGCAGAACTGCCCAAGACTGATGATGCTAGTGTTTAAATGACCTACCAGTCAAATCTTCAATAAACCTGACTGTCTCAGGGGCCATTTCAGTGGGGTGAATAGATATAGGGCAGACCTAGGGACATACAAATGAATGGCCGGGCTCTCTACTTCACTACTTTGAGTGCTCCTCTAACCTCCTGCTCTTTCCTCAAGGCAACCATCACAACATGATTTTCCCCAGCAAAACACCAGTCTCATTTCTGCTCTTCTGATCTACTGTGAAGGATACTGGCCCTTTTTAGAACTAGAAACCATTAAATCACATTCAACAGTTTTTCCTTTAACATCAATAAGAATGATTCCTAATACAAGTGCTCTTCCTAGTCTTCTCATAAAACATCAGGAAAATGGGTGCCATTCATACCAAAAACCTATCAACAAAACTTATTTCCATCTTAAAAGAAATACTGAGCCTGAATAATATTAGTTTTAAGCTGGTATGAGTCTACTAGCTGTATTGCAGTTGGACCATTTCCCTGCTGATGCAACAAAATGGAGACGCTAGCTGATTTGTTTGAAAGCCAGAAAACTGATATGACATACGGTACCTTTGGTCCGAAATCTCCAGGCAGTCCATATCCCTGTAAACCACAAGTTAGATACAATTAAATTCGTAAGTCATATTGGGATTTTTTTTAGCATAGAGTACATACACACACACACACACACACACACACACACAGATGCAAACAAACTTTTACTTTGTTATTTTTATTTTGGCTTGTTCAAATCACAGAAGTAACTCAATAAAAGCCATGTGACTATCACTGTGGTAAGTACAGAAGAGAACCAGCCCTGGCACAGGAAAATACTTGAAGCCTGTTCTGAATAAGTTAATTTCACTTCAGTTTCTGAAAGGCAAGGATTTCTTAGGGTTGTAACGTTTACTGGACCCACTCCACAGTTGGGATAAAATTAGACAAGCTTTCTAAGCAAGATATTCTTTAGGTCCGAAGCATAAAAGTCAGTACAGCTTAGCCAGCCAGCAAAAAATAATTGCAAGAAGGAGAAGAGAAACATCCAGGGATGGCAGACAAACAAGAAGCAGAAGAAAAGCTCCTGCTTACTGGGAGATCAAGTTGCTGCTTACTGGGAGATCAAGGCTGATAAAGGAAGGTCATTACACACCAAAATGAACTCTTGCAGAAAAAAAAATATAAAAGGACAGTTACATATACAAGATTAGGAGCACATTTCTCCCACAGATAACTCCAATGTGTTGCTGAAGTATCTCCAATCTTCACTTCATTTTAAATAGGGAATGACTGAGGAATAGACAGGCATAACAAGCACATTTGTATTTAATCAGTGGTATCCAACTGGCAGCCTGTGATAGGCCTTTACATGACCACGCAGCTTGCAAACACTTAACATACAGCTTGTGCATGTGACATGCCGTTGTGTGACAGGGAAAGGTTCGGGGGTCCATGCACCACTGGTGTAGTCCATGTAACAGGGATCAGGGTCCATATGATACTAGCCCATCCTGTGGTGGGGGCCTGTAAGTTTTGCAGTCTGGGGACCACATTCCAGTGCTGCCTGTGGCCCCCAACTGCACTGAACTTGGACAGTGCCCTGCTTAACATCAAGATTATAGATAAATCTGTTGATTAATTTCCCATCACTTGTTACACCACTAATTCCCAAAGAGTGTGTCCTGGCACATTAGTCGGTCACAAGAACCATGGATGTGTGTTGTGAGATTCCCTAGTGTGATAGGGTAAATGTTCTCCTCCCCTGTCTCCACCAGCTACTCCTGCTGCATCTGCAGCTGCTGCCACCTTCCCCCACCCTTCTTAATCTCCAGGGCAGGTCCTGTGCTGGCTCCCCTCACACTCTCAGCAACACAGTCTGCTCCATGCAGACAAGTGGGTGGATGCACCAATGGAGCTGTACTTTGTGGCCCAGTTTGTCTTATCTACTCCTCCCACACTCTGGGGCTGCAGGAAGGGCCACAGGCAGTGGAAAGAGCAGGGCACAGCAAACTGAGGTCCTGGCCCCACTACCCTTAGGCAGCACCCGCTAGATCAGTGATGCTTAACTTTTCTAGTCTCAAGGCTCCTGCTTCATACCTTTAGTGGGGAGGAGGGGGAGATACCTATGCATGCACAACTTTTTGGCTGTAAGAGTGAAGTGTGCTGCCAATCTTAATCCAGAATAAAAGTGTGCCCCAGGTATCACAAATTTGAGAAACACTGTGTTACACTTTGCTTAACCGCTTAGATTGGATGCCATTTGGGACAGAGACAGTACCCTCTCAAGTATGTTCACAGTGCCTAGTGCATTGTGGATTCCTCTAAGATAATACCTTTTCTTTTGTTTTGTTTTGTTCTTTTTGCATACAACACACCATTTCCACCCCCCAAAAACCAGATGCTGGAAATTACCATGTCCATTATATGCACAGAGCTGAGAGTTGCCTAAATTCAAGCCCCTCACATACCCCTCCCCCTTCCCCCACCTTGGCGTCTCTCTCTCAGGAAAAGAAACTGATAATGGAGTCGGGTATCATATATGAGATCCTGTTTATTTGCAAAGGACATACATGTCTTATTTCCATGAATATATGAGAATTCAAACAGGCGATACTTTTCTTGCTTACAGCTCATTCAGGATCTACAACTCTCTTTTCTCTCTCTCTTTCTAACCCAGCCTTTTCTCAGCCTCATACTTCCTTTACCAGGGTCAGTGCTCTCTGCATTGGTGCTTTTTCAGTTTTTCTAATCTTTTTGGCTGGCTCTTCCTTAGTAATCCAAACACACAGAGAGCTCTACCAATTAAATATTCTAGCCCTTGCCTCTGCTAGCTCAGTCTGCAGGAAAACCCCTTGGTTCACAATTGAGAAATTATCTGGACAGGCCTATGCCAAACCCCTAGAAACTTGAGAGGGCTCACCGGTTTCTCACATGGAAAAGCCCATGCAAGGGGGGCCTGACTTATTTTAGTGGAAGATGATAGTAAAAAATAGGAGGACATATGGAAGGACAAGAGTGTTGCCAATTCCTAAATTATGTAAAAATAAAACTGAGTTTTCCATATCATGCCATTTTCAAAAACTTACCTTTGCTCCTTTATTTCCCAGTCTACCATACTGAGTAGGGCCATCTTCTCCCTAGGAACAGAACATTTCATTTAAACCCACCCTACCTGATGGCTGTACTCTATTATTGTTTGTATTTCATTTACAAGCCTGTGCAGCAACCCAAGAACCTTGAAGGGAGGATGTAATTAATTATGGGCAACCTACTGTGGGGGTGCAAGAACAGTAGTTTCTACTCCTCTCTGCCTCCTACCCCCAACAGCCAGTGCCAGTGAGCAGAATCAGAGGGGAGTGCAGTCTTCCTAGCCTGTGGAATAAATATGTTCATACAGGAAAGGGGACAGAAACGGTTAGACTTTGTCTCTGACCTAACCTCTGAATCAAATCAGCAGTGGGCAGTAAGAATAGGTGCTGCAACATCTCTAAGGCTGGCACAGTTGAGCAGTTTAGAGATTGCTACTTGGCCGTCCAGAAAAGGATATCAGAACATTTCCCCAAAGCACTGAGACTGCTTTACAGTGCACAATGCCCATGCCTCACAGAACATGGAGGGAGTATCTAACCTAATCATCATCATTGTCATCATTAGAAATTGAACAAACCTACACCTGAATTCTCCTCTCAAATAGTACAAAAAGAATCTGGATCCAGACTGCCCAAATGGTAGTTTCTCTGAATTAAAAAACTGATCAACTTTCCCATCCTGCTTTTGTCCATCTCCTTTCAGGTAGTGGTAGTAGCAGCAGGAGTATTATTACAATAGTATTCACCAGGTGATCTGGGCTATAATTTGATTTTACTAGCATCTATGCCTATTCAGCATAACTCCATTAATATTTCTGAGAGTCACTTCAAATCTACACAACTATAAGCAAGAGCAGAATTTGGCTTTAATTGATACGGAATGTCCTAGGACAAGTTGGTTTAGTCTCTGGTCTTTGGCAGCCAAGTACAATGAATACCTGGCATTAGCTGATCATAACAATTAGAACTCTGAATTCCCACCTCCTTTTCCCGGGGCAAAGTTTTCTGCACTGAAAGGCATTAGGTGCTGTAACTAAATTACAGTGCATACAGATGAAAATGATACAAACCTGCCTTCCCCGTTGACCGGGTAGTCCACGCTCTCCTTTCACTCCTGCATTGCCAGGTTCTCCCTGTTAAATAAAAGTAAAAAGATCATCATGTGTGTGAAACACAATAAAACACACTTGGCCTAATTTGGTTTTCATTTCCATAAATGATCCACTGATATCACTGGAGTTAAATGTAAAAGTAGAAAAAGCAAGATCAGAACTGGGTGGCAATCTAAAATGTGTGCACAATATCCATACACAGACACAGTACATCTAAATATAGACCAAAATAAGGCTTAGAACTGAAAATACCATCTTAACTCAATTCTAAGAGAAGGTCTTCAGGGGGAAGCCGACCCAGGTTGCAGTGTGCATGGCCCCAGCCTAGCCCCATAGCAGCAGTGTTCAGCTTGCATGGCTGCTATGGCTGGCCTAGGGTTGTGCTCCATGCCCTAGGCTGTAGCATTCATGGAACAAGGGCAAATGGCAGGGAGGGGGTCAGGGCGAGGAGGCAGAGGCAGGATGGGAAGCAGAGGTGAAGGGGACAGGGAAGGCCCAGAAGCTGTAGGCGGAGGTGCAGGAAGGGGGCAGAAGTGGCAGGCACAAGAAGGGGGCAAGCTGCTTGACCTCCCCACATTGCCCCCACACAGCCTGCCCCCCCTGCAGTAGTGGGGAGGATCAATTAAAGAAGAACCCCCAATAATTAAAATTATATACTTGGAAAATTATAGCAAATTTATCATTTTTCCATGTATAGAATTGTAGCCCGGGTGGTACGTGGCTGGTACCCCCACTTCAATCGAAGGGATGTTCGGGGGTGCAAGAGTGCTGGGGGAGTGTGACTGCCTAGCTTAAGCCAGCTCACCTCCCTCCCCTACAGAGCAGAACAGAGGACCATGGACACCCAATAAGGTTTAACTATTTACAGATTTAAATTTACAGAGACGGTAAATCTTATTAAATATATACACAGGCAATAATAAATGAATATGGCAGACGAAGGCACTCTTTGAGCATAGACCTTGAACCTCAGCAGTCTTCTGGTTAGTGTACAGCCCCTACCCTCAGCAGGTTCTCAATAGTCAAATGTATGCTCTCAATACTCTGAGCATACATAAAAAAAAGACTACATAGATATTACATTCATGTGTTGAATTTTAAACACATGGAAGTAAAATAATAGATAAGGGTGCTCTAGCAGACACTTAATCAACTGAACCACTAGCAGGCAAAACAAGATAGTTCCTGGGCATCTCATAACACAACATCAAAGTAAACAAGTTTACAGTGAAGGATACAACTGGCAGGCTACAGCAGTATAAGGAACAAGGGCAATCTTAAATGGTTATGTAATACAACAAAAAATGGTACAGCAATTGTGCCAAGAAAAGGAATAACACAAGAGAAAAACAGTTTACCATAAAGAAACACCGTCAACCACAACTAATCCACATGACTAGAACGGTAGGGCTGTGGAAAGCTTCGGTCCTTGATTCAATTTGGAGGAGATTTGGCCCAATTCAGTGGCTGAATCTCTGAACCGAATCAGAGGACCCTTTAATCTCTCCAAATCGAATCGGAACCCTCTAAATCAATTCAGAGAGATTCGAATGTAGAGACAGCATTAAATGTTTTTTCTATATCCCTCTAGGTATCAGAGGCTTGTGAACACTGTGATGCTGGGGCAGACAGAGCGTCCCACAGAAGCACGGGGGGTTCCCCGTGCATCTGGCAGCAGACCCGGAAGTGGACCAGAAGTACTTCTGATCCACTTCCAGGTCTGCCAGGGAGTGCTGGGGGGAGGGGGGGCGCTGTGCCCCTTCAGCTCAGCAACTGGTTCCTCCTGGGTCTGGGGGGACACCCGGAGTCCCCCTGCAGCCAATCACCAAGCTGGGAGGGGGCCACCAGCGCACTCTGCAGTGGACCCACAAGTGGACTGGAAGATTCATCTGCCTCAGCATCACAGCACTCATGAGCCACACTGGTACCTCAAGGTATGTAGAAAAAACATTTTAAAGCTGTGTCTATGACCGAAGCGCTGATTCTCTGAATCAGCATCAAATCTTGAGATTCGGTGGAATCGAATTGGGGACAGTGATTCTGAATTTGAATCTGAATCAAATAGGGCCTGTTTCACACACCCCATAGAATGGCTCAGTAACCACGAAGCCTCCCCTGGCAAACAGGGCTCTTCACTAACCTTCATAGGTACCCACCTTTAGTCCTTGGGAGTTTCTCTCTTCCCCTCTGTAGGAGACTTTGGGGTTCACACTAGCTTGTGGCTCGCAATCAGGACCATTTCTCACCTAAGTAAACTCTCCCATCACAAAGGGGTCCTTCCCTCCATCGTTGAGCTTCCCATCAATCACCAAAAAGGGGGGGGACCCTCCTCCCACGTGGAAAACCCATCTCTTCCCTTCCTTGGGACTGCAGTCCCCTACCCAGGTACCTCATGACTCCCCAGAAGCTCCGGTGGGCTTGGCTCATCTCTAGCTCTCTCTCTGTTGATTTGGCTGCCGGGGCATCCCCCTCACTGGGATGGCCACTCCATCCTGCTGCCACTTGCTCCAGGAAGGCCCAAGCTGCTTCGTGCAGCTACCCAGGCCTATTAGCCCTCTCAGGCCCCAGGCACCACTCTGTGTACCATGGCGCTTCTGCCTCTCACAGGGAAGGGAACCTGCACTGACTCATGCAGCTGCAGGGTCCCTTCAGCTCCTTCCAAACCCAGGCACCACTCTGTGCACTGTGGGCCTTTTCCAGGCCCGTGCACCGTTCTGTGCACCATAGGGCTTCTGCCTTTTGCCTCAGGGTCTCTTCAGCTCCTTCCAGGCCTGTGCACCGCTTTGTGCACCATGGGGCACAACATTTCTTCCAGACTTAGATTTTGTAAACCTTCAAGAAAAAATAAGCCTAAATTTTGACCTGACAACATGCTTGCAAACTCTTTTCAGAACAGTAATTCAAAAGAAAAGCACCAGGTTCTCATTTTAGAAGCCATGGCTTACCAGTGTTAATGGAACTAACAAGCAGATCCATGAGACTCAAATCAGCATCATATCACGGCCAAAAAATAACCATAAAATATTTGAAATATAAGTATTCTCTCTCTTGGCTAGAATAGGTGAGCAATAGATCAAGGTTGGTTCACTATTAATTGTATTACTGATTAACCGTAAATCCTGGATACATCACGTAACCTCTCTCTATCCCTTTCAGTCTATAAACACCCAACTTCATAAAGCATGTTATGAGTCTTTAACAAAATATGTTGCAAGCGTGCAAAGCATTAGCATTATTCTTATCTAGAAACTGCAACGTAGCAGCCTGTTAAGAAGAACTGCTCTAGAAGAAAACCTAGCAACATTTGCTTACATAAGCAGTGTTAGGATACTGGGTACTAGGACTGTGTGAAGATTCTGTCCCTGATTTGATTCGGCAGAGATTTGGCCTGATTCAGTTGCCAAATCTCTGAATCCAAGTTGAATCAGAAGACCCTTTAATCTCTCTGAATTGAATTGGAATCCTTCGAATCGATTCGGAGAGATTTGGTGATTCAGACATAGACACAGCTTTAAATGTTTTTTCTACACACCTCTAGGTAGCAGGGGCTCATGAATGCTGCGATGTTGGGGTGCATGGCGTGTTCCACAAAAGTGCAGGGGGCTCCCCAGCACGCTCAGCAGCAGACCCAGAAGTGGACCAGAAGCACTTCCCGTCCACTACTGGGTCCACCAGGAAATGCACTGCGGTCCCCCACCCCCATCCCCTCCCCTCAGTGACTGGTGCCTCCTGGGTTAGGGGAGGCATCCAGGGTCCCCCTGTGGCTGATCGCCAAGCCAGAGGGGTTTGGCCCCCCCCCCACGCTCAGCGGTGAACCCAGAAGTGGACCAGAAGTACTTCCGGTCTACTTCTGGGTTCACCACTGAGCACGCAGGGGATGCCACCCCCCCAGCATTGCAGCGATCACGAACCACACCTGCTACCTCAAGGTATGTAGAAAAAACTTTTAAAGCTGTGTCTATGGTCGAATAGCTGATTCTCCAAATCAGCATCAAATCTTCAGATTCAGATTCAGACAAATTAAATCAGGGACAGTGACCCAGATCAACTAATCGAATCACTGTCCCTGATTCAGGCCAAATCTGAATTGAATAGGGCCCATTTCGCACACCTCTACTGGCTGTAGAGTACCAAATGAGCTGTACAGTACACAGGTAACAATAGTGGGTTTATCCTCTTTAAAGGGGTCTGAAGGACTGTAGAACCTGCAATCCAAAGGCTTAAAAAAAGTACAGTAAACCTTACTGAAATGTATACATGTATATTCCTGCCAAGATCAAGGGTTTGACTTTCAGTGTTACTTGAGACTTCTTCCTAAGGAAAGACTTTGGGATCAAGCTCCATAGCAGATCTTCAGGAAGGAATAAGTGAATGAATTTAAGATATCTACAATCAAAAAGAAAAATTAAAAAATCCTGAGACGCATCCAGCACCATACAGAACAGGCCTTACTTTGCTTCCTGGCATCCCAGGATGTCCAGTACTCCCTTTAGCACCCACAGCTCCTGGTATACTCTGAAATAAAAATAGGAGATATAAATGTTATGATGTAAAATGTATAAAGTGTGAAATCAATTTTTCTTCTTTTTTTTTTTTTAAACAGACCAGTGACACAGAGACTTCTGAGGAAAGGACAGTTGACCCTCTAGCAGACAAAGTAGTTAGCACAGGTCAAGGAGAAAGGTTAGTGTTGTGGGTAAATACCCTGGCCTGGGACTCTACGAGATCCATGTTCAGATTTCAGCTCTTCTCTAGGCTCCCTATGAGACTTTGGGCTCACATCTTCAGTCCCTATCTATGAAATGGAATGACTAACACTTGCTTTCTCTATTTCTCACTTACGGTAAGAGTTGCTTCTTACTATATGTCTGCACAGTGGCAAACAAACTAGGGACCTAAACTTGGGTGGAGTCTATAGGTGCTACCATGCCAACAACAGCTTAAATAGGCAGCGGTGGGAGGTGATTTCTTTAGCAGCCTCTGGTACAATGAGAGAGAAAAGCATATCTTCCTCTCTTCTGGATTTGATGTAATGCAAGCAAACTTAATTTTTCAATTGTCTGGCTTTATAAAAACACTGCTACATCCATCAGCATTTCCCAACAGAACGGTGGCGGCAGAATGACACTCATCCATGTGGGTCTGACATAATGCTTCTCCTGAAGACATCTGTTAGTGAAGGCAGCCAAAGAAACTGTGGTTAAATTCCTTGGTTGAAGTCTGAACAAAATTCTTCCTCTCCCTCTTACTAACATAATGGCAACATTTAATAAATAAAAGGCCACCATTTCTTGGACAGGCATAGCACATTTTTACTAGCATCTGTTAGGCAAATTTTTTTCCTCTGTTCCAAAAGAATATCAAGATATATTCCTATACTGTGCAACTGAGTCTACTTGTTAAAGAAAAATTTCCACAATAGAATACTGCTCATTGACATGGCATTTCAGTCCACATACACCAGAAATACCCTGGGCCCTGTTTGACCTCAGGTATGTTGTTGCAACACCTACCGCACTGTATCATATTAGCCCTGAAATCCGATAATCAATGAGAAACACCCCTGTGTAAACAAGGGCAGAAATGTTGCCCCATTTCCTGCCTGCCTCACACTTTTGTTTAACCATAGCTACTGGTATAATTGGAAGAGGTAGCTTTCGGGTGCTATGTAAGAGCAGAGGGAGAAAGATGACCTCTTTCCATAGGTCTGGTGTTGCCTTCAAGAACTTCCGGTTCTTGCCTAGTGTTGAGATGGCCCTGGGAATGCAGTACCTCTGAAGGGCCCAAACTTAATGTGCCCTTGTTACAAACATGTATTTTTAAATTAATTGCACAAAAGCAAAGGCAGAGGGCCAGCTTTTTATTCTACTTCAGTAGTACCTACATGAGAAACCAGCCCACCCTCTTTAGAAGCTCCTATAGGAAAGCATGCAGGTAGCTTTCCGTTGGTATATGACCTACAAAAGAGGCAGTGGAAAGCACATTTCTTCTAGTATGGACAGATATGGGGACTGCCAACTTTTTGAGGACATGCACTTCCTCCACAAAGGTATGCAGGAGGACTCGAAGTAGGTTGGGTAACAGACTAAGGACAGTGTCTACCAGGGAGCTCATACAGGGTGCTACTTAAGTAGTCTAATTTAGCTATAGTTACAAAGTCTATTCTGTTTTAGAACATAAGCAAAAAAGTGATGATGCCAAAAGGATTTGCTTCAGGTTAGACTAATACTTATCAAATACTGGCATGCCAACTCAAATAACAATATTAAAAACCTTTGGACTATGGTGTACAGGTTCTGGAATGTAATGTTGTTGGGACCCCATAACTGAATCCTATTATGAGAATATCTATCAGAAGAGATTTTGCTTTCTCTACTAGCTCAGAACTGAGTTTATAACATGATATAGCCACAGTGCAATTTGGAATATATACCACCACTTAATGAAAGGAAAGTTTGGAATTGAAGGATCATGGACTAGAATCCTTCCAGTTCATACTGTGATAGAATTAGGGAAAAATTAGGAAAAAATTTGAGTTAAATTTTTCATCTGACTTTGTGTTGGATGTACTTACATGGAAGGAAGCAGATTTATTCACCTATAAAGCAAATATATGACTTCCAAAAAAAAATTGTATGTACTACAGTGAACTGTATTAAAACAAAGATAGATAACATTTACTTCTCAAAACAAAGAAGGTGCTGTTTTACAAGGAACTGAAAAGCCAACAATTTCCTTGTGGAGAATGACTACTGAAGGCTTATTATGAGACACAGTATGTAGGTCATGGTTTTATGGGAGACAGCATGGCTTGTTCCTTTTGCTGTACCTTTCACTCAACTGGGAATCAGGAGAGCTGGCTTCTGCCACTGATCTGCTCAAGTCCTTGAGCAAGTCCTTCTTTGCTCCTCCTGTGCCATTCTGTCCAGCCTCCTTAGACTTAGCTGTTTGGGCTCTTTCTTACAGTGTGGTGCCTAACTTAGTGAGGCCTTAATGTGGGTCCAGTCTTGTAGACAAACAACATAATATTAGTCTTGTGTGCTATACAACACATTTAATAAAAAATTATGAATGTAAAACTTCCTTGGGAGACAGACCTTGAACAAGCTTTAGTTAAATCATCCCCCCAACCATTTTGAAATGCAGGATGCTGAATATATGTGATTTGAATTAGAGTGGTTGTCAGGGAGCCGGCCTAATTAAAACACTGCCCCTCCCCCTGAAGTACATGTTATAGACACCCTAAGGTAACACCCTGCTTATCTTCTACCTGACTTCAGAGTAATATGCCTAACCACTTGCAAAGTGAGCCCAGTGAAACTAACTGGTTTGCTGTCTCACCAAATGAATTAAAGACCCACGAATAACTGAAGACAGGAAAATGGAGCAAAGTAGGGATTACTGAACTGCAACTAGACAGACCCTTGTACAAGTCACCCAAATGGCTCAGATGACAAGATATACTGTCTGCAGACAGATTGCTGTATGCCCCATTGCATTTTTCTTCTTTTTATCATGAAAATGTTAATAATTTTATTCTTGCCTGCAAGTACCATATGTTAACTACTTTTCATCTTGAGGAATGTACTAGGGGTGTGCAAAGCGGGCCCTATCCAATTTGGATTCAGCCCAAACCAGGAACAGTGATTCAATTAGTTGATTTGGATCACTGTCCCCAATTTGATTCTGCTGAATTGAAATGTGAAGATTTAATGCTGATTCAGAGAATCAGCGATTCGGACACAGACAAAGCTTTAAAAAAAATTTCTACATACCTTGAGGTACCAACGCAACTCATGATCACTGCAGTATTGGGGTGGATGGAGGGTCCCACAGAAGTGCAGGGGGGGCCCCTCCTTGTGCTCAGCACCGAACCCAGAAGTGGATTGGAAGTACTTCCAGTCCTTTGCTGGGGAGTGCACTGGGGGTCCACACCATAGCGGCAATTGGCCACAGGGGGACCCTGAGTGCCCCCCCCCAGACCCAGGAGGCACCAATTGTCTAGCCAGGATGGCATGGGGGGGCTGCATGCCCCCCAGAGGACCCAGAAGTAGACTAGAAGTGCTGCTGAGTGTACTGGGGAACCCCCGTGCTTCTGTGGGACACTATGCGCCCCAGCATTGTAGCACTCACAAGCCGCACTGCTACCTATAGGTATGTAAAAAAAACATTTAAAGCTGTGTCTATGTCCAAATCTTTCTGAATCAATTTGAAGAGATTAAAGGGTCCTTTGATTTGATGCGGATTCAGAGATTCGGCCACTGAATTGGGCCAAATCTCCACTGAATCAAATCAGGGACCGAAGCTTCGCACAGCCCTAGAATGTACTCTTCTGATAAAAATGTCACATTATACTAATGTGGAATTTTGAGATTAAACTGAACTTTTCCACTGGATATCTCCACAGTGTCTTAAAAATTAAAGCACTATACAGTGTTTTCACGATGGTACTGCATACCTGAAAACCTTTATTTCCTTGTTCTCCTTTCTCTCCTTTCATACCTTGAATCCCCCTGGGCCCCTACAAAGCACAACAGAAAATCCAGTTAACACATATACATACATAAATTCTTAAGGGTAAAATTAAAGAGAACCCTCTATGAAATGGTAACTTAGCCCCCGTACAGCACTTCACATCACTGAAGTGCCCTACAGTGAATAACGGAGTAAATACCCACAACCCTCTAATTTAGGTGTTACTCCTACTGTAGAAATGCAGGGAAATATAGGAACACAACCATAACCCAGCTGGGATGTAGGGGGAAGGACCAAAACATCTTTCCTTGACAAAGTCACTCCATGGAGTGGCACAGTCACCGCCACTATAGCTTACTTTCTCTCACAGAGAAGGAAGGCTCGGGGAATCAGTGAACCATGCTTCTGCCTCCCGCTTTAAATGAGGCACAAGGTGTTTCATGCTCCAGAGGAATCATCCCTTCCCTTTCCAAATTGCGCTCTTTTCATTTAGTGGAAACCCTCAAGATGCAATGGGTCTGTTGGTCTTCTCCTATGAATGTGGGAGCAGGATCTTCTCTTCAGTCCAATGAGGGAGTCATGGGTACTCAGACTGTCCCATGAATTAGAGGTCAGAGGCTGATACCCTTACTCACACTGGAGTTACTGGCACTGCTTGTAGAGAAAAGTGCTATTCAATAAGAGTAATGGCCAGTGAGACTAAGTAAATTAGTGAGAGCCCCAGTTACAGTCAGGCTACATCTGAAGACCAGATCACAGTCCAGCATAGAGGTACTCATGCGAGGTGTGAACAAACTAGTTCAGCTCAGATACCAGTCAAGGTCTAGTCAGAGCAGCCCAGAGCTTTTTGTGAGCTAATGTATGAGTCCAAAGAGCAGGGCAAATTAGTCCACACTGACCACACTCTTTAGAGGCTGGACAGCTACCGGTACCTGAGCTAGTTCAGGTATCTCCTATGCTACACTGTGTGCTATGGTGTGGACCAGAGACTCTCAACCAGGGTGCTGTCGTACTCTGGGGTGCCTTGAGATCCTTTAAAGGCTGCCATGCAATGTTAGCACTGTAAGATGTGCAAACATGATTCACAAGAGAAATCCAGAGATTTCAAGAAATTCACAATGCCCTGTCCCCTTTGGTTCAGCAATGCTCTGCGACCCACCCCACCACCTCTCTCATGCTCCCATCTAATCATTCTTCATTTTTCTCCCATTTCCATTTGCATCCATTTTCTGCCCTGTATGGGTTCTTTCATTCTTCCTTTCCCACTATACCTTCCATTCTCCACTTCCTTGCCATGCCAGGGGCTCTGTATGCACACACATTTCCATTTCTCCCCACTATTCTCACTTTCCTTTCTGTCTGGGAGAAAAGTTGTTCTAAGTGTCAGCAAGCTAAACCATGTTGCACAGAGCAGAGATGAGTGGTATTGTTAGGCTGTAATGAGTTATAGACTGCCATCAACCCTTTCTTTACCTACAGACAATTACAGAAACGATTAAGACTGCTGTCTCTGCTAACTAGATGCAAGAGATTCTGCCTCTGCCTCCCATTTCTGGTTTTCTGATTTTCACAATATCAACTGGGTTCTGCCCACAGATCTTGGGAACAATCCCTGAAGATTTAAAATTAATTTGGATCTGGCATCTAGAAGCAACCACAGAAATTCATATAAGGCTTTATTCTGCTTGGCAAAATCTGATACTTTTTTACAAGGGTCAAGTGTGTTAGTGGTTCAAGAAAGCATGCATTTAGCACAATTTTCAAACCTCAAATGGAATTTTCTTTAATTATGACTATACTCCATGGTTTGTTAATATGAACTAAGAATCAGTGATGCAAACAGGAGATACTCCAAGGACATTAATCCTGCCTTTCTGTTTTTCATCAAAAACCCCAATTTTTTCATAGTGTTTCTATCCAGGATTTTTACTCATTGAACACAATGGCCCCATACCATAAGTAGACAGGAGCCAGGACAACTAGTCAGTTTTTTGGGGTTTTTTAGAACTTAACCCTATAAATTGCTAAGTACTCCTGAACAACAACTGACACTTTCTACTGTCATTTGGCAGCTGAATGAAACACTTATCACATCATAACAGGGTTTTTTCATATCTGCTGCTCTCCTGTAACTTTGTGTGCAAATGCTCTTACCCCTTGGTAAATGGAAGTTAAACCATGTTAGCTAAGTCCTCATGGAAATAGGGGGAAGTTATGCTGACTGAGCTGCAGTGACCGCAGGTAGACGTGTGCATCTGGATAGTCATCAAGGAGCAGCTGATGCCCAGTGGAGTTCTGACACTGTTGCCTCACAGTAAATTGTTCATCTATCTATAATCATTCATTTCAATGAGCATTGAGGATACCCAGCATCACATCAGTTTGAACTCTTATCTCTCTCCCAGCGTGCAACTGACACTCATGACCACACCTATGATGATTCTGTTCTTGACAGTTACAAGAATCCTCCATTCGATCATCTCTTCAAAAACCTTTCTTCTTACAAGGTTTTGGGAACACAGCAAAAATCCTTGTTACTACTATGATCCCCCATTAAAACCACACACATATATGAATAATATATGAAGGAAATATACAAAAAACATAAGAAGGAAAACCAACAAACCAACCAAATAAAGCAACTAGCCTTCATTCTTTGCACAGCCATAACTCTCAGGGCATTGAGGTCAGTTGACTACTCTCACTCACAGAAATCTGAATTTGGCTCAGCTTCTAAAAGCCATGTAAAGATACCACAGTTAGCCGCTTTGAGCTTTAGAAAAAATCACATCTGTATTAGGACTGTAATAAGAAATCACAGGTGGCAGAGTTTCAGAAATTTGTTGTTTCAGCCAACAGTATTTCTGTAAATCTAGGAAGGAAGGAAGATTTAAGCATAAGTACACTAATCAAACTAAACAAAACCAATTTTATAAACTAAGAATAATGGGCTGAAAATGAATCCATAAACATCTCTGGGTCTTGATTTTGAGTTTGTCTGTTTATTTCGTCCAATAGACTCCAGACTCTGGGTCCTTGATTTAAAAAGTCTGTAAGGACTTTCTGCTAAAAGATTCTGGAGTTGCTCACAACAAACCCCAGACTGGGTACAGCCAATCTGGAAAGGGCAGGGATAAAACCAGTGTGTCAAAACATGCTTATCCCAGGTGCATAGATTTCATAGATTATTTTTTTTAGGGTCAGAAGGGACCTATTAGATCATTGAGTCTAACCCCCCAAAAATTAACCCGAAAACCTCCTTGGGTACCTGAGATAGGATTTTAAAAGGCTCCCTCCCTGGTAGAAGACTTACAGGAAGATAGGGATGCTATCGCTCTTCTGGGATAAACCTCTACTTTGTAGCTGTTGAATTCACTGGCAAAAGGGGTTAACAGTTTGCAATCACCTTCACTTGCAAGAGTCAGTTGACCCCCATGTTTATAATGGATCCAAGATACTTATACAATTACCTAGAATACTTGGCTGACAATCAGCTCTGGTGGGGTCACCATCTTGCTCAGAGGCACAGGGGTAAACCAGTATTGTTTCAGTTAAGAATGGGGTGTGTTTACAGACAATGCAAGGAACTTTACTCTGTAGTACACCCACCTCAAGCCACTGCTATTAGTGCTCCTCAAACGGCACTACGAAATTCACTCCCAGAAAGGGTCTCATCTGGAATAAATACCCCAGGTCTGTTAACTCTCAGACAGATTCTCTCTTAGTTCTTCTCAGTATTTGAAATCCTCCATCCTCTCAAAAATACCATGAGGAATATAAATGTTCACCTGAGGTCCTTTGAATCCTTGCTCTCCTTGGACACCTTTCTGACCAGGAGTTCCTTTCCCACCCTGTAATAAGAGGCAACATCTTGTTAAGATTTTCATATGCAACAGTGATGAAGACTGATTTACTACAAGAGCCATTTTATATTTTCTAATTTAAAAGCATGTATTTTTTTGGCATTAACCTCCCATTAAGCAATATTAACAAAGCATAGGTGCAGAAGAGTTTCAAAAGACTTATGTTCATGCAGCTAGCAAAAAAACCAAAATGACCTATGGAGGCAAACAGCTAAAATTAAACACCTGAATACTCATCATGAACTGGACAGTGATTCAGCATATCAAAAATTATTTAAAGAATTTCAATACCGGTTGGCAATAGCAACTAGCATCTTCAAGTATTATTGGACAGCTTGAAAGAGGGGCAAAAAACCCATCACTTAACAACTTACACACGGTCCAGATCCAGCCCCCACAGCCCTATCCTCCAGCCACCAGTGCTGACTCTGGGCCTCAGAGCTGACCCACAGGCAGCATGTGGGGCATACTGGGTGGCCCACACACAGCGCCTGCTCCAGCTGTCATCCCATGCAGCATGGCCCTAGTGTCCCCCACAGCATCTACTCTGGCCATTCCAGGACGCATGTTGGATCCAGCATGCAGGGCTGCCCTGTGAATCCAGTCTGACCTGTGGACTGGCCCCACACCACCCATCTAGCCTTTAGGGCAGGATGAGTTTGACACCCCTGGTCTATAGGATGCATCTCTACCCCGCCTTTTGCCTGACTTCAGACTAACACAGCTAACTACCGTTTGCCACTACATATGCTGTTCATTTATAATCTGCATGCTTTTCAGCTCAGACAATAAAGATCAGTGAGGTCATCCTCGTCCCCAGGGTGTCAGTGCAATTAAGAAAACAATGGAAATATCTTTGCTGGCAGTAGGTTTTGTAACAGTTACTCTGCTTGACAGTGTCCTGAACAAACTGGTTCTTATTAATAATCTTTCATCAGTTCTGAATTAGTGTACAATGCAATAGTTTGGATATCTATGAGAGGAATCCAGGGTCCTACTTCCCTTATTCATATACATACTAGTGCTAGTTCAATCACAGAGACTGATCACATGAGTAAGGCAAGTAGAATTTGCTTCTCAGATTCTACTGTTACTAGAGCAGACGTACTTTAAGCTTGATTTCATTTCCGCTTCAAAACACTTAAAAAAGTCGTAGACCACAACCCCAGTATAAAAGATTACTGTAGCTTACCTCTGATCCTGGTTGTCCTCTTAGACCTGTTGCTCCCTAAGACAAAGCAAGATGGTTGCTTATTAGAAAATGTGTTAGATCCTAGGAAGCTCTTATTTCAGTTCTATTAAGAGATGATACTTAATCTTTCCCCCTACAAAGCTTTAGAAAATGGGTACAGCTGAGCATGTACAGCAGAATCCAGATATTTTGCAGGGTTGTTTGTGAAAAAGCCAGGGGTTATGTATAGCTCACACCTGTGTGGAATAGAGAGCCACTTTTCCAATCAGCTGTGTGGGATCACTGATGAGCTTCAGCTGCATGAAGAAGCAACTCCCTTCAAATAGCAAATAGCTGAATGGCTTATCTTTAATTTGGTAACCTGTTGTTAATTGACTGAGTTATGAACCACCTGGACATGACTAATGTGGGTGCTACTGTCTATGCTGAAGCAAAGTCTGAGTGCTACACAAGTATGAATAAAACTCTGGATAGTCCAACAACTTACAGAAACATATTTATATTGGTATATATGGTATATATTAATAATTAGACGACAAAGATGACCAAAGGTTAAATATCTCTTATTATTTTTATGGGAGTCTTCCAGCATTTCAAGATCAAATTGGTTGACATCTGATTAGACAATTGCTGTGGTGCAGTTCCATCCTCTAGCCAGTATGCCATTTGAAGTGGGGGGATTTAGAAAAATGATTATTCATTTGAAAGAAAGAATGCTTTTATTCACTAAATAAATAGCTATAGCACATGCAAAGTAGTGTTAAGAAAGCATGCTTAGACCAAATTAAGCCCAGAATTTTTAACAATGTTTTTTCATCGTTTGCTTTGTTCATTGTACACAAACCTCTATTCTGCTCTGCCACAAGGACAGACCATGTACAGAACCCAAAATGAAAGTTGCCTTTTTTGCAACCGTGTCAAAACATTGACTCTTTTAAGCTGCAAAAAGCATTCATTTCTAGCAGCGGAAAATTTCTGCTGCTAGAAATGATACCAGGAAAGGGAGCAGTACAGGCATTCAGCCTGCAATTGCCCTCTCTCCCCTGCCCCTTACACCTTCCTAACACTGAAGCAATCCTCATCTGGGGAAATTATGTTGAGCAGTTACTGCTCTCATTCTCTCATTCTTAGGGGGACTGGAGCAGTGGGGCAAAGACTTGGCTTACTCCACACACTGTGAATGTTGGTGAATGAAGTGGACAGGGGAGTTGTGGCTTTCTTCCCTACTCTTGGTTTCCAGCACCCAGGAGCCAAGCTGAAGAAGCAGCACTGCAAGTCCCCTGCCTGCTTCTCACACTGGAGTTCCCAGTGTGCAAGCAGTCGGTGGGGAGCACCTGATGGCTGCTCCTTCTCTCCCCTCCCAGTCCAAGGGAGGGGCAGGAACAGCTGCCCCTCCTTCTCCAATCCACGGTTACCTTGCTGTCTGGAAAGCACGGTCCCCGTAATGAGTTAAGCTGCATGAAGTGTACAAACATTTTTTCTCTCAAGAGAAACCTCTACGGAGCATCTTGTACTTGGGTTATTTGTTAGGGCTGTATGAAACGGAAGTACTTCATTTCAATCAGCGTTTTGACAGAACAGTGCTTCATTTCAACTTCTGTTTTGAGTTGAAACAGCTGTTCCATTTCGTTGCACCTTTTGCCGTTTCGACCCTGTTTCAACATTTCGCCCATAGGATATAATGCGGAAAGTCAAAACAGGATATAACTGTCATTTCTGGCCAGTTTTGGATGAAACTTGCAGGAATAGTAGCCCCTTCTGAGGGCATGATGCGTACCAAGACGATGGGTGCAGGGGGTTCAGAGAAACTGCACCCCCAAATATTGAGAGCAAAACTCACATCATGTGTATGTGTTAAGCCACAGTGGGGTCAAAACTGCAGGGATGGTAGCCCCTGGTGATGCAACAAAGCCTGCCAAGTTTCAAGGAGATAGGTGCAGGGTGTTCAGAGAAACTGCACCCGAAAAGAAAATGCTAAATATTTCTTGTATCACCTTATCCTCTGGATGCTTATACACTTATCATTCAATAAGTCATTCCAGCATTTTTCCAGGTATTATAGTCAGAAGGACTGCTCTGTTTTTCCCCTTTTTTAAATGAGAAACTATGTTTGCCTTTCTCTTGTCTTCTGAGACCTGCCTCCATCCTTTAGGTGTTCTCAGAGATAATTGCTAATGGTTCAGAAATTGCTTCAGTTAGTTTTTTAAGCACGCTGATAGATTTCAGAAAATACTGCTAACTTGAATATATCCAGTCCATTTAAATATTCTTTAACCTACGGGTTTCCTATACAGGCCCATGGTCTTTCCCCTTCCTCCCCCCCTCACTTAAATTAACTTAATTTAAGTATCTGGTGAGGCTGGTTTTGTGATAACTTGAAGCAAAGAAGGCACTTTCTGGTGTCACTGTTGTTTGCTCTCCTTCTTCATTAAACAACAGGTTTAACTTTTGGGCAGCCCTGACCTACAGTATGAAATTCAATCCTGCGCTGATGATTAGTAACAGGCCTGCATTACATGGAAATTCCACCATAGCCCTATTTTTAGGATAAGTAACATTCCTCTGAAGTCTCAGGAACTATTTGAGTCATTAAGGACTATTCCTGTCTGTGCAATTTAGCTCAGACAGCACTGGATACACGTCTATAACTCAAGTTTTGCTATTAAAGCTTATTTTCCCTTAATCTTTTCATCTGGATTGTTAATCATTCATGTTGGCAATCCATATGAAAATTCTGGTCAGAAGGAAAGTGTCTGTATGAAACCAAATGCTGCTGCTGTTGTTGTTAATACTTTCAGGGCAGTCTGTTGGAGATCATCTTTATTTCATCTTCTTTTAGCGAGGCTTTTAGAAAGGGAGAGTGAGAGGCAAGATCCTAAATACTCTATCTTGTATCATGGTTAGGTATTTCCTTTGTATGATGCCTCAGGTTGCATGTCCAGTGTCTTTTTCTATGTAGGTTCTTACTATGAAGTTCCCAGATCCCGGCAAGCCTGGTGATCCCCCTGGTCCTCTTTCACCCTGTAAATACGACATTTAATTTCATGTTATCTCTCAAATGCTGCTATATTGTGTCACCTTTTCCCACATATCCATCCATCCATCAGATCAAAACATTTTTGCAAATAATATCTGTAAACCACTTGATCAGAATAAAGAACAGAACCATTAAATGCTAGCTTTGTGACTTCCACTGTATAGCATTTTTTGTCAAAACCTTTCTGGTGTAGCCTGTTTTACAAAATGTGATCATCAAAATAAGTAGTAAATATCTTACCTACTGCTTAGTAACTCTATAAATATCCATCAACACAATTATGGTGATCTTCAAGAAGTTATAATATATCCTGGCAGGTGGATTAGGACTCCAGACACTGAAGTTCCTTTCTTGGCTCTGTTACAGCCCTATTGTGTAAGCTTAGCTATTTCTCTAGCCCCCATTATGTCTCAATTTCCCCATTTGCAAAATAGGTATAATAGTACTGTTCTTTTTTATGGCATTTTGAGACCCACAGGTGAAAAGCATTATACAAAAATGATCATTATAGAGATTACAATGGATGAAACCATGCTAGCTAGTAACATGAAGTAATAGCCTTACTGCTTCCATAGTTCTAAACTGTCCTGGCATATACTTGTGAAGAGACTGAATTTGTAAAGTAATTGCCACTATAACCATTCTTAGCATCTTTAAACCAAATTTTATGAAAGAAGCCATACCTTCTACATAAAAAGGGACTGAGAATCTATGACACCATCAGAAATATTAAAGATAGAATTTTTCATTTCTTCTTAATGCAAAGCTTCCTTTGAGTCTAGTGAGAATTTTGCATGAAAACTGGCAGCACAAATTAGCCACAGAATAATTTAAAATTATCTCCATTGATCTGTGGATTTGGAGTGAGTCAATAGGTTTGCCAGTGATTTGTGGGTTTGATACACCACTGTACACAACAGAAAGCTTCATCTGCAGTTTATTTAGTTGGACAGTAAAGGGGGATTTGATAACATTCTTCAAAAATATGAAAGATGATTATAGAGAGGATGGTGACAGAGTATTCGTTGTGGCCATGGGGAACAGGACAAGTAGCAACAGCCTTAAATCATAACAAGGAAAATTTAGGCTGAATATCAGAAAGTGCTTTCTAGCTAGGAGGAAGGATAGTGAGGTGGGAAGGAGTAAGAGCCAGAACCTATTGCTGAGAGTGGTTCTGGACTCTACACCATTGGAAGTTTTTAAATGCAGGCTGGACCTTTCACTGGGGTTGATCCTACCTTGGGCATGGGGTTGGACTACATGACTTATTTCTTTATTAGAAAAAAATTAAAATACTGTAGGTTAGCATATGGAGAATAAACCATTGATATAGAAATGCAAAAAATACTAAATAGTCACCGCTTTTCCTTGGTCTCCTTTTATGCCTTTAGATCCTTTTATCTCACTAATCGATCCAGAATTTCCCTTAAGAAAGAAGAAAAAGAAAAGAAATACTATGCAGTTAGCCGGCAATGGCATTTGTTCTTTTATAAAAATAGCCTGGTATGCAAGTCCCATATTATGTTGGATGAGAAGGCAGAGAATTTTGCTTATTGCTCATTGGAGCCCTCTATAGTGAGCACAGATTGAGAGCAAAATTAAACACTAAATATTTAAAACTTGTGGGACACTTTCTGTTAAAAAAGGAGAAAGAGTTTAATATGTGAAGGGTTCATATAAAAATATTAAGCATTAGGGCTAGGGACAGGCATTCAAAAAGCCAGAGCCTTACCTGATTCAGTCTTTGCAGGTTAGTCTAACCTGCAGAGAATGAACTGGTTTGCAAGTGGACAGACATTCGGCACATGCTTCCAGTGGCTCAAGCCAGAAGCCCCGGAGGCACTAAAGCAGCCCTCCCTTCCACAGGGAAGCTGAGCTAAAGAAGGAGTGTGGCCAGACCCTGGGAAGCTCACCCCAGAGGCTCCCTGACAGCAGGGATTCCCAGCGCACAGGGCTGCCCAGCCCCAGAGGGGAACTCTTCCCCCTCCTCCCTCTCCCCCACGGGGATGGGAGGGGGGCCTTGTTCAGTGTTGGGGGGGCTCTTCTCCCTCCTCCTCCCACCCACCCTGCAGAGGGATGGGGAGGGGGGCTCTGTGAGGCTGCCTGGCCCCAGAAGGGAACTCTTCCCCCTGCTTCTCCATCGCTGCGGGGTGAAGAGGAGGGGCTCTATGGGATGCTGCCCAACCCCAGAGGGAAACTCTTCCCCTCACTCCACCCCAACAAGAGCAGGATGAAGCTCTGTTCCATGCTGGGGGGAACTCTTCCCCCTCGTCCTCCTCCCCCTCCCCCGAGGGGCAGCGGGAGCGTGGAGCTCATCTGGGCAGGATCTGAGTGTGCAGGTGGGGGAGGTAGGGACACCCACACACTCTCCCTATAGCATGCAGGCCCCACTGGCTGACAGCAGCAGCAGCAGGCGGGGAGGTCAAGGTGCTCGTGCCCAGAGCAGAGCTGCAGGGATAAGGCAGGCTTGCTCCCTCCGTCCATGCAGCACTGGCCAGAGCTGCGCCTGCTCAGGGCATGAGCACCCTGACCTCCCCACCTGCTGCTACTGCCAAGCAGTGGGAATAGTACACCATGGGGGGAGTGTGTTGGGGTCCCTACACCCCCCACCCTCCCTCACACCCCACACACTCACACCCTGCCCAGCTGAGCTCCATGCTCCTGCTGCCTCTCTTGAAAGAGTTCCCCCCAGCATGGAACAGCCTCCCCCCACCCCTCTTCTGGGGCCAGGCAACATCACATGGAGCCCCCCACTCCCCCAGACCCATAGCAGTGGGGTGGGGGGGAAGGGGAGGAGGAAAAGTCCCCATCCAGCACCTCACAGAGTCATCCTTCCCACCTTGGAAGGAGGAGAAGGGGGAAGAGTCCCCCCAGCAGAGAACAGAGCCCCCCTACCCACCCTGTGGGACAACCAACCCAGCATGGCCCCGTTAAGGTGAAGGAGGCAGGGAAAAGGGTCAAGTCCTCCCTCCGTCCCTTCCATGCAGCTAGAGTCTGCCAGCTCCAGGGGCCACCACTGCAGCCCCATCCCCTCTGCTCCCCAGCAGACAGGCTGATCCCGACTATGGTGGGGCAAGAGGGGAAGGAGGGAAGAATTAGCCCCCTCCCTGCCTTAACAGGGCCATGCCAGCCCCCTGCCACTTTGCCTTAACAGGGCCATGCCAGCCCGTGTCTCCACTAGGGGATGGCTAGAGAGCAGAGGGGCGGTGTCAGCCCTGTGGCTGGAGCAGACAACCCCGCCCAGCCCAGAGGGAATGCTGGGGGAGTCTGGTTTATCCTAAACCAGCAAGAGGTCTGGGACAGACATTGCATAAACCGGTTTGAGCCAAATCAGTTAAGTCTGATACTACATTCAACCAGGTTTATCTCAAATTGTTTTGAGCCATTTTCCAACTGGTTTATGTGCACTTAATGTCTGTTCTGTTACAGGTTTAAACCAGTTTCTGATCACTTACACCGCTTTATGTGTAATGTCTGTTCCTAGCCTAGGAATCCCAGATATAGTGCTGCATATTTTAAACACAGTTAGAAGTACAAGTACATTTTCATTCAAATTGCCAGACAGAAGGGTATGCAAGTTAATATATGAGCAAAATATTTAAAATTAATTTGCAAAGAACTAGGTTGCATCTGTATTGCATCTGGAAAAAGCTTACAGGATCTCCTTGAAAGCCCTTCTGGCCACGTTCACCAGGGGGTCCTCTTGGTCCTGTACTGCCCTGAAATCATAAAATCAAGTAAGATTCTGAAAAATGCTTTTCCTGTTGAAGGGGAAGGTTAAGGATTTCAAATTCACAGTAAGTGGCCTGAAACACTGCTTAAAATGTGGACTTGGATTTGGGGCCCTAAATTGTTTTTCTTCTTACATATAAAGTTGTTACCCTGAACTAAGTATTGCATGGATGGACTCTTACGCCTGTGTAAATCATCCAACCACAAGAATGTGGGATAAAAACATGGATGAAAGAACCATGCTTTCTCTCTGTGATCACTTTATTCAAGCCCTTTTCATTATCTGAACATCTTAGTTTTTCAGGTAAAGCATCTAGTCGGTTGAATTCACATGGGGACAAGAGTGCAGCTCAAACACCATGCATTTCACATAATCATAGAAGAATACAGAAGTAGGCCTGAAAGGGACATTCAGAGGTTATCAAGTCCAACCTCCTACTTGTGGCAGGATCATCCCTCTCCAAACCATCCTATACAATCAATAATCCAAACTCTACATAAGATTACCTTCAGCCCTGACACAACATACACCTAGCACCTAACCTGACACAGATAAAGTAAGGAATCCACGACAAACAACGCCCTGCTTCTATGACATGTCAATATATGCTCAAGAGATGCCAGGTAGAGGGCTACGCTGCCTACTACACAGCAAGGCAACCCCCCACCATAGTTCATACCAGTCAGACCGTGGGGTAAAATTCCTTCTTGATCCCAAATACGGCGATCAGTCTGACCCTGAATGGAGGACATGGGCAACTGGTGCCTCTTGAGTCAGAGGGGGCACTTGCTCCCCCAGTGACTCAGGGGAGTCTCCCACAGCCAATTGTGCTGACCCAGAAGTGCCTGCAGCGCACACGAAAGAACCAGGGGTGTAGCCAGAAGGGCCAGCGACACTTCTCCTGGTGGCCCCACTCCCCGGCCAGCGCTCTCAGTCAGGGGGGGCACCAGTGCTCCCACCGTCCCCCCCTGCCCATCGCCTAAGTGGGGAATGTTGGCTATGAGGGGGTGCACCAGCGCTCTCAGGGGGTGCACATGCATCCCTGTGCACCCCCTATGCATCGCCACTGACAGAGGGACAAGTCCCTCTAGCCAGGAACATCCTGCTTTGGTTCCAGCAGGAGCGTTGGCACCAATGGCCAACACACAGTGCTTCTGAGGAGGGCTTAAAACCACCCTGACACATAGCAGAAAGTGGGGAGACAATCTAAGGAGTCAATATACCAAAAAATCTTTACCAAGAGAACTGAAAGTTGTTCAAAGCATAGCAAATGATTAATAAATTTTGTGGAACCACTTGCTCTAAATCCTGCAGAGGAAGGACAAATAAACTCAAATGCATTGCTCCTTTCAATGAAGCTCAGCTCAACTCCTAAAATACTATCTTTCATTTCTGGGCTCAAGTCTTTAATTACTAACATTCATTCCTGGGTTTTGCTCTACGAATTAGGAATTGCTAATGTATATGTACTATAGATTAATGTTAGCCCCTAAGGAACAACTTGAGTTCAAGAAATATATGGAAGAATGTTGAACCCTGTACAATACATGATTCATTTAATTGTTTTTCAAAAAAATTTCCTATAAACATATTTACTTTGGGTATTTACTGCTGAAAAAAGACCATGTCAACCATGAAGAGGGAGGCTATCCTACTTCTGATAAGCAGGAATTATGACTAAACCATGTTAACCCAAGTCAAAACAGATTAGTAATTTTGTGATATTAAACCACTCCCTGTACTCAAGTGGGTATTTTTCATGTAATACCCAGGCTTATTATTCTGAAATCAAACCCTGATCAAATGAGACAATATGCACATTACCGGATAACCTAAGTCACCCTTTTCTCCTTTGTTTCCTGAAGGTCCAGTGTCACCCTTAAAGATAAAAATAATTATTAATATTTACTTATATTTTAATTATTTTATTTCAGAACTTAAGTTGATGTCAATACAGTATGAAAATTAAAAGGGTTCACCTCTTCTCCTTGAATTCCATCAATCCCATCATCACCACGTGATCCCTGAGATGACAAAAACAGGTATGAATGAGTCTCATTCACCAAAATAATCGTTTTAGGTTTACAGCCTAAATGATGCAGAAGTCAAATATAAATTTAACAATGTATGAATTAATGCCTACTGTTTCATTTTTTACATTTGCCTTACACATGATAATCAAATGGACATACCACAGCCATTTTCAAAATAGGTTAAAAAGGAACAACAAACCAATACTGTGCCCATTGAAGCTTATGGCAAAACTTTCAAGAGCCTGAGTGCAAGAAGAATAAAGTCCTAAAATACTACATTTACCAATTACTTTTTCTTTGAAGCTCCGTTCTATTTGACGTCTTTTAGGGACCAAATTGATGCCTACGCTGACCAGTGAACTCAGAGTCAAGCACAAGCAATGTTTATAATATGTAGTCCTAGAAAAGAAATGCCATCTGGAAATCAGAAGTGATACTTCAGTTTGAAGTCATATTTTTTCTTTCCAAATTAAGTAAACAATAAATAAATAAATAAAATGTACTATACCTTATGCCCACTAATTCCTCGAAGTCCCTGAAATAAATTAAAATAACAAATATCTGTTAAATAAGTAGGCAAAACAAAACAAAAAGATAAAGAGAATATTTTACTGTTAGTTAAAATAATACTTTCAGTTTTACCTTGAGACCTCTTGTACCTGGACATCCCCTATTGCCTTGTCTTCCCACCAGTCCAGGAGGTCCTCTTGTTCCCTGAAAGATAGAGGAGATGTGAACTGAATTTTAGGGAGCTATGTCAATTTACATATGCTAATAGAGTGTTGAGTTTTCATGTATTTTTCTTAGTGAAAACTAAAGTCCTGTAAGCTTACCGGCTCCCCATCATCTCCTAAATATCCCAGGTGTCCACTTGTACCTGGAGGTCCCTGAAATGAAGAGAAAAGCAGGAACAAAATTAATAAATGTTGCTTGTTTAGACTTATGGAACTGTAATGAGAATTCTGAAAAGACCATTACAATTCTGCCTACATAGTCCATCTTTTTGTCTCTCCATATTTCTAAACCTTGACAAATGAGAAGTGTCTTACCTGATAATTGTATCCCCATTTTCAGGGTTTTGGCCTTTTCTGAAGGTGACATAGAAGTTACTTGGCTGTGTATGAACTCCAAGTGAAAAACTAGGACTTCAATTCTCCAATCTTCTTTCTTTGTATATTGAAGATGGAGTTTCTTTTAAAACAGCAGATTTTTCTCTGACAACTGCTTTATTACCACTAAGAAACTCAAACCTTTGGGTACTCCCTATGTTATAGAAAATTTAAATAAAGCAAATGTTTGGTTTTCCTCTGACAGGACATAGGAGGAGTACTCTTGTTTGTATATTATGACATGGCTTCTTATATCTTCCAAAGTTGCAGTTAATAATATAAATATAATGTTGGAATCAGTGGACAATGCCTGTGGCCAAGTCCCTTTGCATGATTGAGCTGTCAAAGTGAACTGTGAAGCTTGCTTCCAAAAATTAGTCTGCAATAGCCTGGAGTGAAAGTTGAGTTGGCTATAAGTGTATTCCAGGTACTTACCTGTCCACAAACGGACTGACACCTCAATTCGTAGTGTATTGAATAACTGGCTCAGTGTTCTGTCATTGAATTTCTGGAGGCGCAGTTTGAGAAATCCCACTCAAGGGAAAACACTGATTGACGAGCAAATTTCAAGCACTGGAGAAAACTGGCTTTATGGAACCACTGGCAAGAAACGGCTGATGCAAGGAAGTTCTTTTGGTTCTTTGCAAATTGTACTATGAACTCAAACATAGGGCCAGGACCATGCCAGTTTTAGAGTAACTAGTTTGTATAAATCCTTTCTAGCATTTGGCTAATTATGAGTGACTTGTTATTCCCAATGGAGCAAGTTTGAGCCTTCCTGAGATAACAGATCTCAGAGGGCACAGTAGATCAAAAGGAGGAGGCCTGAATAGGAACCATAAAGATTTCATATGTAACTGCCCATTTCATGTCTGATACACTTAAAATGTTGTTGATTTGGGAAGAAAATATACCTTTTCATTGACAGTTTCTAGTCCATTTTTTTTCTCTACTTCAGAACCTCTTCTAACGTACTCTCTGCATTGCTAGTGACTAATGGATAGCTAATGCTGTATGACAGTTAAGAATGAGACCTTCCTGTATACTCAGAAACATTATTTTCTAATCATTCTGAAAGCATTTCTGCACTCATAACTTCGGGTGCACAAAGTATTTGTTTTAAGTGATTGGCTGCTACAGAATCAGTGCAACACAGCATCCTTATAGCCACCAAACTAGGAGGTACTGATCATGCCACAACCTAACTCAAGGATTTGGCAGAATAGAACCTGTGATCTCCCATTCCAATCAAGAAACAGAACTGAGATGATGAGCTACTTCCCCAAGAATATGACATTCTTTTTATTTTTTTTTGCATAGTATTTTCATTTAACAATTATTTTGTTCTGGTTTGGCAACTTCTTGGGACGAGGAGGAGAGAATGGAGTGTCTAGCACATACCCTCGATGTTCATACTGTTCATCCAAATCTAGGACTCATCACCAAGGGGTGCTAGTAAACAAATCAGTAAACAAATCTATTAGATAGCCCTGGAAGCCTGCAAGGCTGCCTGCCAGTTTCCCTAGGCTGGCTAACAGCAAATACTTTGTCAGATACCTAGTACCACTTAGGACTTTACTCAGAAAAATGAGTCATAAATCCATGATAATGCAGCTGCAATGGGAACAGAGTCCTCATATGCCTCCTCTTAGCAGAGACTGCAAGAAAAACCCCTTACGCTTAAATTCAGAGCCAGCCTATGGAGAGGTAGGACTTGAGAGACAGACAGACAATAGCTTTTTTTCAGATTCTATGTCTCCTTTTCCTGGCAGATCTTATTTGCTAAAAACCAGACGGACACAGCTTTCATTATGCTGCTTTCTGAATTCTGAGCCCTTTTCTTGGCAGAGCAGGGGTCCTTGGGTTGAAAGCCAAATATGCACTATTCCCACTGCATAGAAGCTCAAGGCAGGAGCAAGAGCTCACAGGGGGAAAAAAGCCTTTTCTGTATAAATAGATAGGCTGCACAGTGGGTAAGCAAAGGTGATCCTAATACAAAATATTGCAAGTGCCCCAGTGAGGGAAACATGCCTCAAGTATCCACCCCCTTCTCAGGAAGTGAAGGCAAAATAATTAGAATTAAACTCTGATTTTTGCTACCTTTGTTCATTAGCAGTATAAAATGCTGCCTTTTGCCAGGTATATTTTTGCTATTTGGAGTTCTGGAATCCATGGAGTTTGCAAAGACATCCAAAAACAGGCTCCTCTCCTCTTTTGTAGAGATCCACGTGTCCCTGATTTAGTGTCCTACAGTATAGCCAGATTTCATGCCAAGAGAACGTGAGGGTCCCTACTTTGTGGTGGCAAAGCACAGCTCATCCATTTAAGCCGCATGCTATAGCAGCGTGCAAAGGCTGGCTGCTTGTGGCAGCAGGGCAGAGCACATCCTCTGAGGCACCTTAACTCAGCTCAGTGCTTGCAGGCTTCTCAGCTGCGAGGAGGGGAAGGTGGCAAGGAAGACTGATTTAGAAGTGCTGTAGAAGAGGAAACCAGAGGGCTAATATGCTAGTGATTTTTTATCTTAAAAAAGGAGCTAGACACTGAAATGAAGTTACAACTGAGAAAAAACAAAAACTTTAGTTGAAAAACAAAGTGCCAAGAGAATCTGAGACCACGAGAAATTGTCCCCGACAGACAGAAATCTAGTGGCTTGAGATGAAAAAAGAAGACAATGAGGCTTAGTCCTTCCACCCCCACAACATGGCATCTCCCCTCAGTCACTGCTAATGCGTAATAACACTCCTCTGTGGAATTCATTAGGCCAGCTCTGAATTGCACAGGTGGTAGCATTACTCATTGGTCAGGACTGGGGAGAGAAACAGGGGCAGCAGAAATGGGCATGGGTGACAAAACATGATTTACAGAAACAGATCCTTTACATTTTCTTTGTGATTCTGACAGCTGGATAAAGTACACTGCTCAAATTCCCACATAATCCACCCATAACGCCACCAGAAGTTGTTCCATGGGACTACGTTGGAAGTAGTTGTTTGACATAGTTGTGGGCATTTCTTCATGGGCTTTTTAAAAGTATCTTAGGCTGCATTGCCCCAATGAAAGACAGTAAGGTCTTTCCATGACTTTTACTTGGAGGTGAATGATACCCTTTACAGAATCAAGTATACAGTCAAAATGAAATGTGTTGCAGTTTTCTCAGAGATTGCAATTCTGTGACATTTCTGTAAAAACTACACATATCAATTACTTGGTTCCCTAAAAAGCTCCCTGAAGTACTGAAAATTGGATACATAAATATTAGTTTTCTTGGATTCTACAAGGTCCCAGACAGATAGCTCATACCAATCCCATGTTCCAAAGAAAAACAAGATCAGAGCTAGTGCTACTCCAGAGCTAGTGTTTTTGGATGAACTCATTAAATAGTATTTTCAAATATTTCCCATGCACGATTAATTGCATGGAACTCCCCATCTTCACTTGCTACAATGTGCAGGGACAGCCTCTGATTTGGGGTGTGGCCGGGGAGGAGAGCAAGTGATCTGTTTTTTTTCAAACATTCAGAAAAATCCTTCTCCGCTGAACCACTTTATGCATCAGTGGAGTCTAACAGAGTGTCCCATCTGGGTTTTTATATTTATATTTTGAAGCCATTCTCACAAGGAAAATGTCAACACATTCCTCTTCCTCCCTCCCTCTCCCCAACTCCCCCAAGGTAAATCCAAGATGGCTTTTACATTTCTTGTTTCCTTACACCACAGGACCTATATGTCTTTTGTAGTGGCCAAAAGGCAGAACCTGCTGTGATGTAAAGAACTTATGTGAAATGTAGGTGCTCTTCTGCGAGAGTTCAAAATAATAACAATCATTCTATAGTTTTCTGCAGTTCTTATTACTGAGCTGAAAAGCAACGGTTTCATTTCTGGCAATAAGCCACAGGCAAGAGACCCCATAAAGTAGTAGCCAAAATCCAGCCCTGTTACAGTTTTAGTATACCCCTTCCATAAACAGGTATTAACAAAACTACTGGAGACTCCCCAATGCTTTAATTTTTCCAGGTGCACGTGGCCCATCCTTAAAATTACAATCAAATCGGTAAAGCAGTTTTATTCTTACCTTTATCCCTGGATTTCCATGAGATCCCCTATCACCTTCTTCCCCAACACACTTGCAAGGCACACAGCAGCATGTTCTTTCAGTAATATTGGCCTTGAAAAGAAGTTACTTCAGGTGAAATTTCATTTGCTAAAAATTCTCATATGCCCCCATTGAAATGAGAGGGGATTTTTACTATTTACTTCAACCGGAGCAGGAAAGGACCACATTGCTTTTAACATGAATCTCATGTTAGTTTGAATAATGTGTCTTATTTGCTTGAGGAAAATAAATATTATTGTAGGCACCTAAACAAAGATTTAATCATGTATGTTGATCCTTTATGGAACAACTTACCAAGTACTTCGAGAGCTGGCTGGCTGTATCTGTCATGCCAATATCTAAAATAGTTCTACGTTCATATCCTCTTCCAAATTCAATGTATTGAAGTTGTTCAGAATTGGAGGCCCTTTCAAGAGCAACAGGTATGAGTGCATCCAATCCTACACATTAAATGATCACATAAAAACATGAAGTCCTACACAAAAATGATTATAAAAATAAAAAGTAATAAATAATTGAAAATATCATTTATTCTCATGCATGCAAATTCATATAGAAAGGCAAAAATTCCAGATTATGGAATGTACATTATAATTTAGTCTGACTTCTATTTTTATACAATTGTATTATTAGTTTGTATAAGTGTTAATGACATGAAGAAGTAAGAACATCCACAAAAAGAAGCACTTGAAACATCTTGAACAACAAATGAGGTTCAAAGGTCATCTGAATACTATGCATGTTAACATAAATATTTGCTTCATAGTTTAGGCTTTAACCTGGAAAAGTGCATTTAAGAAGAAAAGCAAAAGCATGATATTCTGTAGCTGCCTATTTGGAGGGGAGGGACAGGAGCCAAATTGTTTTGATTAAGAAAAATGTGTTTTGGTTGCATTTCCTTTTAAAATATTAACAAATACCACCACAAAAATACTGAAATTTTAGATGGCTCTGTGTCACTCTCTCACCTGGAACAGTATCAAGGGTTTGAACATTTGGCTGAGTTCAGAACCACTGAGAGCTTTGTACTAATCCTGTGTATACAAACATAAATCCACAGATTCCAACAGAGTTACACCAGTGTAAATTTAGAGAATGCAGTGTCATGAATCTGCAAACATATACTCATTAATGTGACATGCTTTCAAATGCTGCAATAGGAAGCAATTCTTCCTCTTTGTGTCTTTCACTATATCTAGTGAGATTGTGAAGAGAAATTCAAAAGGCAACACCTTACGTTGAAAAGCATATATCCCCAGAAAGCAAGTTGATGGCAGCCAGCGAAGGTACTTAGGTTCTGTGGCTCACACTCAGATTTCAGTTGCATTGGTGAAAAGCAAAGCAAGTTAAATTTTACAAGCTGAGGCCTGATACATTTCAAAGCACTTACTTAGTCTGAATGAAGGATTAATGGTGCCTGCTATGTTCAGTGACACAGGAGGAATGAAGAACAATGCACATCTCCATAATAAATCTGACTTTCTTTTATTCACTCCCACTGCAGCCACTGCAATTGTGACAATGCAGCATATATTCCTCAGAGTACATCCTATGGACTGCTTGCCTGGGTATAGTTGAAGTGGCTATCACATGGCATAGGCAGTTAGCCACCACTCCCTTGTTGGCACAAAGGTGTTGAACTGGGCCTTTAACTCTTCCCCATTACTGTTTTTCTGCTGTCAACAGCAGCTTTGCTGGTTAAGCCATTATGTTACTTACCAGTGTATTGATTACCTTGGAACCTGCACACAGTCATTTCCATCACCCACTAGTTCTTTGGGTTTTTTCTTTTCTTTTCTTTTTACATTTCTACCATCTGCCATAACAAATACAGGTGACTGGACACTTAAAACACCTCCCTTTTTCTGTCTCTGCATCCTCTTTTCCTCGTAAGATATATAGGGACAGCCCCATGAAACTTACAAAACTATTTGTTAGTATGTATTTTCTTGCATAATAAGGCCCTTGTACACGTGATGAAGGGCTCTTTTACACGTGATGAAATTGCCCCTTTTAGTGGTTTAATTGCCTTTCTTAGTGATTAAAAAAGCGTTGCATAACAGTGTACAGGTGTGACAGCATATTGTAATTAAATTTCATAACAGTGTACAGCTGCAGCAGCATATTTCAATTTAACTGCCTTTTTTTACCTAGCAAAGTAAAACACATCCAATGTATTTTACTTTCCTATGTAACAAATTACAGCGATATCATCATGTGTACAAGGGCCCATTCTTTCCAGCCCCAAGCAGCCCCTAGTAAGCTGGAACTCAGCCAGCCTGTAAAGGGAAACCCGTTATTTCCTGCATTGTTCTCCTTCAAAGGAGAAAATCTGTGTTTTTCCACAGTGAACAGAAAATCTGGATCCTTGCACATGATACTGGGACCATAGTTGAGTGAGGCAAGGGGAATCCGGGACAAATGCCGTTCTGGAGTCATTCAGCCCAGGACTGGGACTTGATGCTTATATTTTGGGACTGTCCCACCCAATTAGACAGGTGGTCACTCTAGTCAAATCTCCAGTGGAGCCATTCTGATTTATAACAAGTGAGGAGTTTTTCCTTTTGCCTGCCTTCTCCTGAGAACTGAAAACGTCTCTCTTCTGTCATGGGCGCCCACTCATGTTTCTGGGGTACAAGTATTTCTTACCCAGTCCTCGTATTAAGTATGCTTGCTGAATAAAAAATAAGTGAAAATATTTTATCTGTTAAGCACCCTTTTTTCTGAGTTCTTCTGATTTTTCCTCAAGCGCCTCTATGTTATCATCCACACCATCTGAAAATATAAGTAACACCTGTAGAAAGATTAAAGGAACAGTTTAAACGCATAAGAATAAAACAAGTAAATTAAAGAGAGAAAGAAAATTACTTTGGACCAAGTTACCTTTCTTCGATTATCAGATGTTTTTTTAAATGCTTTCCAAAGTGACTGCAAGAAGGCAACATTGAGAAAAGAGGGATTGGCAATCACAACATTTTTCAGGTTGTTGAGGATTATTTCAGGGTTAATTTCAAACTTGGAAGACACTGGACGGACTGTATTTTTCACTTGCAGTGCCACACTGCTCTGAGCTTTTGATCCTAGGTTGCAACTCACACCACTCAAGGATGTGAGGGTTTTTAGGATGTTGGGAAGGTTCTCTCTCAGCTTGGGCTGTCCATGAAAAAAATCATTGCCTTCTGTTTGTGATGTGATGTCAAATCCCACAACAATATCCACCAAACAAATTAAGTCTGGAGAAAAAAACCAAGAAATTAGTTCACAAGCCATTTTCTTTTTCAGAGCAGAAAATGTTGGGGTGGGCAGTAGAGAGAAAAGAAAGAAAGAGAGGTAAAGAAAGAACTGCTGGTCAGAGCACTCAGTCAAATTGTGACTGACAGCCAACGTATTCAGGTCTCACAGCTAAACTAATATGGATTTTTTATGTTTCTAATTCACCCAGGGACAAATTAATCTTTAAACATTTACCCAGCTTCTTGGATGGCTTTTGCAGCTTCCTATGCCCCATGCTAGCATCTCCATACTGCTGCCAACTGGTTTAAAGCTACCTCGTGTGTCGCTACACAAACTTCAGTTCAAGGAGAAATTACCTTAGTATTATGAGAAAAGCACATCCTCAAAACAGAAATTAGGAGGGGGGAAAAAGTCGGCAGGGCATTTGAAAATAGAGCTGATAAGAAAAATTAATATTTGGTCCCTCAAAACATTTTTCAGCATTTAATTTTTTGTGCGCAAGCTGAATAGGGACAAAAAGCATTTTTTAAAATTTTTCACAAATGAAATTCTGGGAAAAATCATTGTGAGCCAATGTCCAACTGTTGCAGTGACAAGGTTTAGGTTTACCTTCCTCTGTCACCATATCTTATTGAATATCTGCTTATGGAAAATTGCACAGTAGACTTAGTAACCCAAAAACATGAGATCACTGCAAATTTTGGAACTTTGACATCAGCTATAGACCCTGATACAATCTGAATGACCTAAAGCGCACAGAAATCCAAGCAACGCTATTGCATGAGATAGACAGAAATAAAGCATCTCTAATTAATTTTATTTCACTCCATGTTAAAAATCCAGCTTGCTAGTAATTTGCAAACTGGTATTTTTAAGTCCTGAAAAAGGCAACATCTTCTGATCCATAGCCAGGTTTTCACAAGAGCTTTAGGACAACATTTAACAAAGTTTATGGACCTGGCTGAAAAATTCTTCTTGTGAATTAGTTTCTCAAGGGAATCCTGAATGAGGGGACAAGGTCAGCAACACAAAAAGTATTAAAAAAATATGATGTCAAAGAGAAAAGGCTGAAACTCCAGAGGAAATAAGGAGATTTTGGTTTAGTACTGAGTTTTGGAGAAGCTGAATATGTTTGGAATAGTAAAAGTTCTACCAAGAGGTTTAAGATCTGTACAAGGGTCTCACTACACATGGTACAGAGAAAAAGTGAATTAAAGACATCCCATACCAGGCATTTCTTTAAAAAATGTGTATATAATATTTGTACTGTACTTACAAATAGGAAAAAGCTGTCTCTCTTTGGGAGACAGAACTGTGAGAGGCCAGTCCTGTGGTATTTAAATGCTGCTGTATCAAGTGACTGAGCAGCACATTTTAATGTTTGGTTCCCATGGGGACTATAACAGCGTGGTCCATCTCCTTTAAAAGTGGTGACAGGGGCCAGAGTACATAACACTATTCCACAACATGGTTTTCTTAAGAACAAGCAGTTCTGTGGAATAAGGACAGCTAGACCAATTGGGAATCGGGGCTAGGTATCCAAGTCACTTAATTACCTGCGGGGTTGTAAAAGGAGTGGTTTTACTCAGGTTCAAATTCAAACTCAGACTTGAGTCAGGAGAGACCTGAAGGGAAGTGTCAGATGGTGCCAGGACGAGAAAGTCTCTCATCATTCAGGAATAACCACAAGGATGAGAGCTGGGGCGATCCAGCCCCAAGAATGTGTTTGGGTCTCAGGGCCCCTAGGGCTGGTTTCCCAAAGAGGCTCAGATTTGAGTGCAAGTGGCAGAGCTCCCTTGCTCAGAGGAAACTGGGGACCTGAAAGAAGGTGTAAACAGAAAACTCCAAGGAAAGAAGAGCTCAAACCTGAAAGTGCTGAATGAATTGAATCTTTATTTTGTGAGAACTTAAGACCTAAAAATCCCTCACTGGGTGAGAGCTGATTAAAAAGAAAATTGGAAATTAAGGTTCTCGACCTTTTTTTCCCAACAGTGCTTGCCCAACAGGACGTGGGGCAGTCCAACCTAACCAGGCCTCACGGGGCATAGGGAGCTTGATTTGGCCCCATGGAGGCAAGAAGGTGGTGTGGCCTGGCCCCATAGGAGGGGAGCTGGTTCAACCTGCCCCATAGGGTTTGGGAATTTGGCAGTCGGGGAGTGTGGCTGTATTAAATCGCCACTGCTCCCCTGCCACCAAATTTCCTGACCCATAGAGAGACCTATGAGCCAGGTGTGATGGCTTCACATGCCACATTTGGCCCACAAGCTGGAGGCTGAGCAGCCCTGAGATAGGGGACTACCATGCCACATCACAAACTATGAGCCAAGTCATGCTCTGCAGAGATATATTCCTTCTCTCTAATTATTCTGAATGAGAAATAAATCATTCTTCATTACTGTAATTCATTAGATTCTTCATTACATTGACTCATGTTGTAGAAACGTATAAGGTACATTCTGTGAAACAGAAGGAGCATCTAACAAGTACAATTAAAGCTTATTGCTCCAGAGTTAATTGCCCCTGGGAATACTGTTTGAACGTGCACCCGGAACTGCTACATATTGAGCTAGGTCAGAGCAGCTCCAGCTGGCAGGGACTCAGGGGGTCATCCTGTCAGCCCACAGTTGCTCCTCTCTGGCTCAGTGCACTGCAGAAGGGCTGGCTGAGGCACAAGGGACCTTCAGTGTGGAGCTAGCTGGCAGGAAGCCCACACACTGAGGCATCCTTGTGCTCCAGCCAGCCACGCCATCTGCAGAGTAAAAAACATGTGCTTTGCTGCAGAGTAAAAAACTATGCCATAGGATAGTACTTGTGTTTACAGGTACTAACCTATGGTGGAGTTAATTAGTTTACTCCATCCTAATAGCACTGCACATGTAGATACTGAGGTGTTTACTGCAGAGTTAATTAGGCAACTCTACAGTAAACTTCTTGTGTAGACATGCCCAGATACACTGAGAAAGACACAGGTATTTAAGAACCAGTTAAATGGAAAATAGAAGGGAGAGAATTTAAAAAACATGATTATATCTATCAGTGACAGTGACTACTATAGTTAATACTGGGCACATCTACACATGCATTTGTTCTGAGATCAGTTTACTTGTGAGTAAACTACTCATGAATGAATGTTCCTGGGCGGGTGCCTACACATGCAGGGATGTGGGAACAGATTTGCTGCTCCTAGCAGCAAACTGCTCCCACTTACTATGGCTCTGCAATGGGCCCCTACCACCACCAGGGGGAGCCAGGAGACAGCTTTCTCTTGGCCAGGGCTGGGATATTGCTCCCTGCCCCTGGGGGGCTGCCTGCTGCTGAGACGGCAACAATTCCCCCTGCCCTGGCAGCAGGGAGCTCCCAACTGTCTCTCCCTGATCAGGGCAGGGGACTTGGAAAGAGCTGCAGGGGAGGGGCAGGTCCCAGCACCTTCCCCCATCTGCCGGTGGGGCAGCTAGCAACAAGCCCCCAGCTGGGCAGGGATTCCCTTATCTCCCTGGATTCCCTGCCCAGCCAGAGGCTGCTACTAGCTGCCCCACCGGTAGATGGGGGAAGGAGCTGGGACCTGCCCCTCCCCTGC